CAAGTCTGTTCAGGTACGTAAAGCTTCCACATCTGTATAAGACATTTGAAGTGGGGATTCAGCAAGACTTGAACACTCTTTAATAATAGAATAGCAAAGGTTGTGCACTCTTCAATAATAAAGGCACAACCTGTAAAAACCTCTTTGTTTCTCGAGAGTAATATTATATGAAGTCATGATACAGGAAACTAGGGATTATAATAATTCCCAACGCATTTAACTGCAGTGCCTAAAAGTAAAGTTTCACAAGTTCAAGCAGGATACTGTACAGGAGGTGATCCCTTTGAGAAAATCATTTCTGTAAACATACTCCTTTATGAATAACTGTTGAGAAAAATGTAAGAAGTAGGCTATTTGGGCCCCCAGTTCAGCAAAATTCTTACGTGTGGACCTTATTAAAGCATGTGAGTAATTCCATTGAAACTGCTGGGCTTTAAAGTATGTTGATGTATTGGCATCTGGGGGAGAGACTTTTCATGACTTTTTTTCATTGCCTAACACATGCTGTTCTAATAAAAACAATAAATTAAATATTTTAAAACATACAGATTTGCTCATGAAGTGCTTTTCGGTCTGTAAACTGTGACATTCCCCAACTGTTTATGTTTAGGTCAGCAATCTGGATGTTATTAAGTATTTCTGATAAAAAAAAACAAATTAAAAAAAAACAGTTCACAGTCATGATGCTTAAAATTCAGGTGGCATTTAGTCTTAAATCTTTACGTATAATGGTGGGGGGTCACTTATGCATAGTTAAAAATATGGTTATTTTATACCTCTGCAAGGAAATTCTAATATTCTGCAATTTTATTCTTTGATAGCCTTATATATATATTTTATTTCCATATAGTTTGCTGCTTATTGGTGAATGTGAGAAGATTTAATAACATTTCCTACTTCAGAAACGCAGGAAAAGTGGGACTATAACATATCTTAAGCATTATACTGTTATTCAGCTTCACCTTAGCTTGCTGAGAACACCACTTGATAGTGCCAAATGAGCAGATTTTCTTTTTCATTTTTTGCTTCTTAAGGCTATCAGTCTTGGCACCTTTCAGAGCCAAGTCACTTGAATTTCTGCTGATCTAGGTGGGCATTGTGATATATAACCTGTGTGTTATATGGGCCAACCATGATAATACCTGTAATGAACTTAACTTTTTCCCTGCATTAAATTGTTTAAACAGTGTCTGCCATGATTGTTAGAGAAGACATTTTTTTTCCTCTACCCTGAAGGTTATTTTCTGACCCATTTGCAAAGCTGGTATGGAGCGCACCAAAGTAAAATGGGCTCTTATTGAATTTCCTGGGTCAACTTTAATTTTAGTTATTGAAACAGAACCCTGAAACTAAAATACTGTGGTGTTGAATATAGTGCTGTATTTCTTCACTGTTTGGGTTCACTTCACTCCAGGTGAGATGACAGGAAATAACCCAAATGTTTGTCACTGATCTCAAATTGGAACCATCTGCTGGTCTTAGGACAAGAAGACCAATTTAATAGTAGTAGTTCATATGAACTAATATATAGACTAATGGAGTATAGCAGCAAAGAGTGTTTTTTGTCAGACTACAACCAAGTTTTAATTTGTTGTCCCTCTTTATTCAGTCTTCCCTCTGTACTATAGCCATGCCAGAGATTAGGGCCAGGTACAGATGTTGTTCATAAACTGAAACAAGTGATTAGAAACTGGTCTACACAGGTAACTCAAGTTCAGCGCACATAGACTGGTTTAAAAAATGGTGGAACCTGGTCTAAGGTAGGCCTGGATTGATCTGGTATCAGATTTAATCGATTTAGGTTAGATTGGTTTATAGAACTTCTGTACCAGATGGCCTACTGACTCAAGTTAGGTCTCTTTTCACCAACATCCTAGCCCCTTGCTAAGTCCCCACTGTCAAGGAGGTGTGTTGGAACTGAACTTGCGCTCAGTTGTTCTGGCTGTCACAGACCCAAGCCAGCACAGAATTTCTCCCCAACTACATGCCCTGCCTCTGGCCAATTGTAGGCTGCCTCTGGCCAATTGTGGGGGTGAGGCTGGATGGAGGATTCTGTCACATGGACCTGGCAGCCAATCAGATGTGGCTACGGGGCTGTGTTCAGCAGCAGGGAGCCTACTGGGAGGCATTTGGGAGCACCTCCAACCTTCTGTCCTTGGACAGTGGAGGCAGCCTGTGTGCCCCCCATCCCCTCCAAAGGGCAGAAGTGTGTTCTGCTCACTCCTGAACTAACCTATGATGCTTAAAGTGTGTAACTTAGCTCACTTCTGCCTTGGGCTTTTTGAACAGCTGTACCTGGCCTAGAATTTAAATTTTGAGCAACATTCATCTTGTCCATATAGTACTTGCCAAGCATTGAGTAGAAGACATTCTCACTATAAATGTGCACAATTTGTCTTCTGTTAAACCCAATTTACCAAAATAAAAGGAAATAGTTGGCAAGTGCAGTCTTTAGAAGGGAAGGGGTTTTGATTGTTTGTTTTGATGGGAGTTAATCCAGAAAGTGTTTGTTTCGATACAGTGTGCCAGTCTGCCAGTGGTATAGATCTATTCTGCTGAAAATTGCGAAACTTAGACTAGAGGCTCTGAAAGTGTTTAAATAAACTGTGGGTGAGAAAACAGAAACAAAGGAAAGCAGGTTTTACTTAAACCTGGATTGCTTATTTTGCTTTATGAAAGCCCTTCCAGTCTCACTCTTTTTGTTAAATTATTGGTTTCCTATCAAGATCTTAGGGGAGTTCAAAACTGTTAAAAGTCTTCTATTTGTCAGTTGTACCTTGTCGCGGAGCACTAAGGTGCCCTGCTTCTTTAAAGAGCTGAAACTAGAAGTGGGGAGTCCCAGCTGCTGGTTACCAGGGTAGCCAGAATGAGTTAATTGGTCCATACCTGCCAGCGGTCAGCTGACTGGAAGGGGCAGGGCCTGGCTCATATATAAACCCCAGGGCTGAGGCCAGAAAGGCAGTTTCCTGCTAGCAGCCAGAGGGGAAGGAGCCTCCAGGGAGGAAATGCCCAGTAATGCTGCAACTGCCTAATATGCTACACCTAGGGCTAAGGGGGCTCCATGAGCCTATTAGACACTTAGTGCCAGGGACGAAACCTGATCCTTTTAAAAGTGTCAGAGCACACCCTGACCTTCTGTATTACGTTATAGCCCAGGGGCTTGTGTTTTGTTTGCTGTTGTATAAGACTGGTGGTTTGGGTGAGGCTATTTAGGGAAGGAGGAGGCCTCATAGGGGGCCCACTGCAGCATGGGGACCCTGGCGCCAGAGAGGGCACGGCACTTTGGGGTTCATAGACCCCTTTGGGGGGCGCAGAGACCCCCAGCGCCAGAGAGGGCATAGCATTGTATTTGGGGTGCACAGACCCCAGCACCAGAGAGGGCGTGGCATGTGGGGTGCACACAGCCCAGGCGCCAGTGAGGCGCAGAGTGAGAATAGAGGGTGCCCAGCGGGCCAAACTGGCACGGTCGAGGGGCCCTAAGGATAATGCGGCCATCCTTAAGGACCCCATCCTGTGACATACCCATTATGGGGAAAGGTTTCTATTTTTTTTTTTTTTTTTTTTCAAGAAAACATTGACCATTTTCTCACTCATCCCTTCTAAATGTTTTTTTTTTTTCTAGGCACCTTGTTTCATTGGGGTTAAAAGGTGTGTCCACAGTTTTCTCACCAGCTTTCATCAGTAAATATAGGAAGCTTTTTTAAAGATGTGGAAGGAGGGGGGAAGAGGAAGCAGACTCATAAATTGTTTGTTTTACTATTACCTCAAACTTAAGCTGAAAGATTCCTATGCAAGGGACAGTTTGAAGAGAGAAAATGAAAGCATGGTAAGAAACTGGCTTTTGGTGTTCTTGCAGAGATTATATTTATACTAAACTAAAGTATTTGAGGATTAAATTCAGAGATTTAATTAGCTACATCTTTTTTGATTGGACCTATCCACCAGCATTACGAATCCCAGCCCCAGAAAAGTTGTACTCTAGTGGGGGTTTTGTTTGTTTGGGTTTTTTTTAAAACTAATCAGACTTAAAATGCAAAGATTTTCCCCAAGCTAAGGATTCTTTGTATGGCAAAATATAGCCCAGAGTTAACTCTTACAATGAAGCCCCTGGAATTAGAAGTGCGGGTGTGTGGGCAATGCAGTCATATGTAAATGTAATGGTGCCGGCAGCGCTGTAATAATGACTGTAGTATCTTTTGAAGGAACTCTGAAGCGTCTGTTCAAAGACATTTTTAAATAACTTTAAAATTATTTTTTGTGGTTTAAATGGAATATGTAATGACATCCCTTGAGTACCAGCATTCCTTTTCTGATTTTCTTCCTTCATTGAAGAATAAATATGGCATTGTAATGAAGGCATTGGTTATCTGTAAGCCTATGCAAGACAAAGTCGGTGAAAGAGCAAGTCCACACAGAGAGTAGACAAATGCACCCTTAGAGCCCTTTCAAAAGGGGAGGGGCAGCTGCTGCTCAGGACTGCCCAAGATCTATAACTGTTACTTGTATTGGTGCCTGTAGCAATACAGGTACAGCAAACCCACTCCAGCTTTAACCCTGCTTTGTCCAGGGTCAAAGTTGAGGTGATTTAGCACACTTGTATCCTTAAAAGGTCATTCATACCTAACCATTACAGCATAACAGCTTCTGTGTGATTCTGAACAGCAGCCCCCCAGCTCTTCCCTTGTGAAGCTGCTACAAATGTATGTTTGTCTGTGGCCACAGTTCTTCACTGTAGAGCCTTTTCTTATATCATGGGAATGTTACCCTTAAAGAATACTGACTTGGTGCTCTGTGTTGATCTAGAAGTCTGGATGCAAATCTGCATTGAAGGTGAGAGCTGACATAATGTGCTGTTTTAGGTATACCTCTGTGCCTCCTAAATGATGGTGAATGGGGTCTTCAGTTGGGAAAACTTGGAGCATAGAAGCAGTAGTTCAGACTGAAAAGGATGAGCCTTGCATGTTATAAATTACTCCTTTTTTTTCCCCTTTCTTTTTCAGACACTGAACGTCTCTATACTGTCGTATTCCAAGAAATCTGTGAGCGTTTTGGAAAAGCCTACACGTGGGAGGTGAAATCCTTAGTCATGGGTAAAAAAGCATTGGAGGGAGCACAGATTATTCGAGATATTCTAGAGCTTCCGATGACCAAAGAAGAGCTGCTGCATGAGAGTAAAATGAAGCAGGAGAAAATATTTCCTAGTGCTGCATTGATGCCAGGTGCTTTCTCTTCATTATTTAAATGACTTCATATGAAATTATTTATATGCAGGCAATGATAGAGTTTTTAAACTTCCTTTCACAAAGAAGCTTCTCTTACAGACCTGGTATTTCTACTCTTGACTTGGCAGGGTTTACTCAAAATGGCATGGTATTTACTTGCTAGGAAACTCCTGGGGATGCAGAAAGCTTTTGCGTACACATTTCGAGAACAGCTGCTCTTAATACATGTTTTAAAGAACTAAGGGAAAAACCCCCAAGATAAATATGTGTGAGTGTTGTCAGATTTATAATCTAGACTGATTTACGGTAGTTGATAGCAGCTGTATAACTCGACAAGTTATTTTAAATCTGGCTGTGGGTGCACGTTGATGTGTGTTCGTTGAGGTCATAACAAAACTCATGCCTATACAAACATGGATAAATGAACTCATTCACTTACATGTTACAAGTTGAAATGTACAAAAAAAAAAATCCTGACGCTAACATTGTTACTAACCTAAAGTATGAACCAGGTGTTTCTGGAACATAGATCAATATTTAATGGTAACATTTAATAACAGGATAGATAGTGTGTGTGAAGTAGCTTAGCTATTGTCACCATAACTACCTTAACTGTTGGCATTTTCTGCTTCTTGATTGTTTGTATGTTTGTTCTTGCAGTCTTCATGGTGTATTAATGTAGTGTAGCATGTGTTTTTTTTTTTTTTTTTTTTCTTAAATCTGTGCCTGTATATAGCTTTCTAATAGCTTAATAGGAAAGGGAGTCTTGTAAAACAAAAGTTCAGTGTAACCAGTGGGTAAAGCTTACAAACTCAGCTGCTTTGGCCCACATAGTGTATACCAGGGGTTGGCAGTGTTTTTGGGTGGAGTGCAACTTCGACTTCTAAGATGTTGGCGTGCTAGGGGCGGATGGTGGGAGAGCCATGAAGGGCCCGATCCTTGTTGTGGCAGTGCAGTCCAAGTCCCTTACCTGAAGTGTGTGCGCGCCAAGCAAAATGACTTCATGTGCCATGCTCTGGCACCCCTGACATGCATTCATTTTTCTTCAGCTTACACATTTTAGAAGCTCCACCAGCTTATCAGTTCTTTATTTGGATGCCTATTCACTGTTTATATGTAAGTGTGCATTAATAGATTTGAAGGATAAAATTCTGGTTCCTATTAAATTAATAGGAGTATTGCCTAAAGTCAGTATTCTACCCAGAGGGTGAATCTACACATGCAGTTAATGCAAAGCTCTCGAGCAGTTTGAGCTGCAGTAAACTGCTCCTGGGAGCAGCATCTACATGTGCACCCAGGATAACAGCAATTTGAGCTTGGGTGGAGCAGTCCATCGTTGGTAGGGGACATGGGGGTCAGCTCTGGGCTCCAGATGGTGATGTTGGGTGGTGGAGAGGCTGGCTGGGGCATGAGGTTGCTGCAAGAGCAGACCTGTGTGGCTAGGCAGTAGGCAGGAGTCTTGCCTTACGCTGGCTGACCAGGTGCAGTTTATGTCTATGGCCAGCATCTTCACATGCATTTCAGCTCAGTTATTTACTCCACTGTAAGATGGTACTGTCAGGGACTTCCTGACAGTAATGGTGGTGTTAATTCGTTTACTGTACCCTAATACTAGTGCATGTGTAGCCAGTCAAGGTTCCTTGGGTGAATTTGATATCTTTTATTAGACCAACCCAAATGTGTAGCCAGTGGCACTTAACTGCAGAGCTAATTAATCTTCTCTACCATAAAGCTCACATGTAGATGCGTCCAGAGAGTTTACTATGTATACTTAGTTCCAAAGTTAAATGCTATATGATTTAAATATATAAATTAGATATCTGTTTTATTTTCCAGAAAAACAAAAGAACCAGTCTGTAATGAAAGCAATAATAGTCTTTGGTATAAAACTCTTACAGACCATGCGTTTGGCTAGAATCTCATGAAAGACTGTGAGGAGGATTTTTTTTTAATTTTCATTTCAGTTTTAAATCCTGTGGACTCCTTACAGCTGCTAGTATTTGATTCCAACTTCAAAGAAATCTTAGTTTAGGCTTCAGAAATCTCAAAGGATAGATCAGTTTGGGAATAGCAAGTGGCACTCTATTTTTTTTTTTAACATGTCTGACTGATTATGGAAGGAATTAACAGGCATTAACATTAAGGTAAGTTTATTCATGAAGTGAATGAAGAGTTCATACCTCTTGAGGAGACATTTGGATGCCTTAAAGAGAGTAGAAGGGAAAAGCACTGCTTAGAAAACTGATCACAACAGTGCCATAGGGAGAGAATGTTTGATACTGTTTAACAAGAAGGAAAGCAAGAAAAATGTTTTACTTGCTTCCCTCAGTTCTAGCTCTACTTTTGTTTGATATCAGAGTGCAAGAATACTGCAGCATTTCAGATAACACTCCTAAAGAACGTTTCATGGTGACAAAGAAACAGGTAGATAAAGGAAATTATTTTTTAGGTCTTCCAAGCAGTCATAGCAAGTGGTGGTTGGCTCCATCCTCATCACTCTCTTGCTGTCATAACAGCAATACTATTTCACTTGAGGACTGTGGAAATATGCCAGTGGTGAGTTGCAACTGCCAACTGCTTTAATGTTTCAGGTTACACCAAAAATATTTTAAAATTTGTGGTTAAAAGAGTGGATGGTTTTTCGTGCAAAGTGAGATTTTTCTACCATGGGCTAACAGGGGTTTCTACTAGGGAATTACTTTATAATCCTAAAGGATTATAATCAAACCAACCAGAGATCCAGTCAAATTGCTACAGTTCAGAGTGTTAATGTTAGCTGATTATTATTTTTTAAATGGGTGTTTGAACCTTGAAGTGCTTTAGTTTTCTCTGACATAAGTTTCAATGTAGGAGCTCTAAACAGTTCAGAATAGAGAAGCAGCCTTTCACAGAAGTTATATTTATCCTCAAGGTTTTCATTCATGCACACCTGAATGTGAATCATAGAAGACATGGGTGATTCATACACACAAAATTAATTTAAACAGTACAAGGTGTGTTTATTCATCTGTGTGTGTATGTATGTATGAATGTGTGTGTGTGACCGGGCAGCAAACCTCTGCCCTCTTCCAGAGTCTATGCTGTGCTCATAGGCTGCTGCTTTTGTTCTGGTTATTATTGCAGTGGAGTGAATTGGACCCTAATTGCAATCTCTGGAGATTCTCTGGTTTCATGCTTCAGGGCTCAAGTGTCTAGTTCCATCCACACTGCTGCTAGTACATTCAGAAGGAGAAGAAAAGCAACTGCAGCCACTGGAAGGGGAGGAGGAATGCAGGGAACATTTAAATTACTGTTTTGTTGGATATGCAAGGAAAGCATAGGAAAAAAAGAAAACAAAGGATTTACAGAACTGTAAGAGGAGTAAGAAGCAATGCCTAGGTTTGGTCTCCACAGGTTTTGTAGTACAGTGTATTTGTTAGGAGCACGAAGAAATCAAAGCCCTATTTATGATAGTTGTGCCAACAATATACTCAATTAGCTGCAACTATGCTGTCAGAAGACTGCTTTTGTCTGTTTAGCCAGTGTTGTTCAGGATAGCTATAGTAGGAGAAAAATATTTTGCTGACGTATGCAGTGTCTCCACTGAGGGCTATACTTATATCAGCTCAGTGGTGTAGACAAGCCCCAAATGTGTAGGAAGTGATGAAAGGAGGTACACACAAACATACACGCAAAGATGGGAAGAATTAGCAGTAGAGCAGGTGATGATTTGGCAGCCTTGTAAAATACAACATTAACGAAGGAAAAATGAAATGAAGTGGGGAGAAGATTAAGAAAGGTACCACAAATAAACAAGTGACCCAGAATACTGAAGTCAGAATCAATGGCATGCAGACAGAACAAATGCAGTGATATTTTTCATGAAAACCTTTTTTCTTTTTCAATGTTTGTTAAAAATTGGAAATAAAAATAAAAAAGTTAATGATTTTCTTTTTGTTTCAACATTTTCCTCTAAATTATTTTAGAACCCTGGCAATTTGGGATCTGAGGACTGTTGCACCTGTTTCCCAAAGCAGTGCATCCTGCTATGCCAGACATGCATGCAAGACCTGAGATTTTTGGGATCAGGTGTAAAATCTCAGAGATCTCAATTGTACAACTGCTAGTATGGGGAGTCCATCATGGTGAACTGGATCACTTATGCCGGGCTCTATATGTCTTTCAATGGGGAAGAGGCAGCCCTAGCACCTAGACTTGGGACACAGGACTACCTCTGGGCAGGAGGGAGCCCCAGATAGTTAAATTGAGCGGGGGGAAGCCCCAGGCAGTAGTTTGGGATGCAGACTTCCCTGTGCGTGATCCCAGGGGTCAGTTGATCATTGGGATGGGACACAGTGTCTAAAATACATGCTACATGTTTAATTTAACGCACAATACAAACCATTATTATACATTAATGAGGGAATATCTTTGTAGCTGGTTTGCCATTTTATCATGTCATAAATAGACTGAATGCTTGACTTGGTACAGCTTATGGCACAATTAACATAATCATGCCATAGATGTAACATCTGCCAAGACTCTTAGATGCATAAACTAATTTGCACCTGTTTTTTGGGTAGTGTAAGAGTGATGTTGTTGCCTGCTAATCTAGAAAGTATGGAAGAAGCAAGGATTTCATAGTGTGATCTTTTTTATGCAGTTGGTCCAATAAAAGATAGATATCACCTTAATAAACCCATGCCTCTCACACATCTTTTTAGAGAGTTTTTAAAGAGTTTGAACCCCTTATGCTGTAAAAAGTAAGTAAACGCAGGGAAGATATAAAATATTCTTATACATTTAAGGGGTAGTTCATTCTTCATAATTTTTTATGCCAGTAGCTTGTGGCTTTTTATAATAACTTAGTTTCACCTTTCCCCTGTATGTGAAAATAATGCTGGCTAAACCTATTGAAACTCCCAAATGAAGTTGTTTTCTTTGGCTTCAGTTGGTCATTACATTTTAGATGTAGAACAGTAATGTTTTAAAAGGTATGGTTTAACTGGTGATTTTTA